GGGCTTTGGGCTGCAAATGCAGTGTTCTTTTGACATCAGTTTGAGATGCTTATTTGGAAATCATTGTATGTGCATTTGACCTGCAGTTGACCAATTTCTAACCATCATTTGGCCTGCTTCAAGTTGCATTTGTATTTCCATAGAATTTTGTGGGGAGGGACACAGAATACAAAACAAAGCCCATTGACACTGGCCCAAAGGAAGGTAAGTGTATCTGGAGATCTGCATTAAAATTAACCTACTGTTTTATCCTGCGGGGGCATAGCCCAGATTCACTGTGTTGTGACATAGGTATGTAGGCTAACAGTGCTGACTGCTACCTCTCGGAATACTACGTTTCTGGCTGTCATGTTCATTATTTGGTGTCAAAACTTTTTGAATCCGTCATAAAAAATTATAGGAATAAGGAATCTGACTTTTCTCCTACTTTCATTTGCTGAATGATTGCTCCCATTAAGTGACTTAACCTAAAAGTATTGAAAACAGAAATATTTCTCTCATGAAAGGAGTCCTTTAAAATCTACATTATCGTTCTTTGACATTGTGAATGTGAAGGGCACAAGCTGTTCAAAAACTCGTGAATTTAGACGGGTTAAATATGCCTAGATTCACTTTTTTTTTTTAAAGCCTGTTATGTAATTTTTATTATAAATGATGAATGTCTTATTTCATACCACCTTACATACAACAATCAGTATTTCTGTAATATTCAAGAAAAACCAGTCTGACATGCACTTATTCACACACCTTGAAGCCTTGTTCATACCAAGCGCGTTCCAGGAGCTGAGCAGTTACAGATCGGAGCAAAACTACGTCCAATGTATTCCAATGGTATTTTTAGCTCCAGTTCACATCGCAGCGTTCAGGTCCAGAGCAGGTTAAAAAAAATGCAGCAGGCCCTATTTTACTTGCTCTGGAACCTCTGGAACGCATGCAAACGGCCCGGAGCGCATTGAAAACGCGGCATGTGCGTGTGCAGAAACTCATGCAGATCTGCTCTGCATTTGGTGTGAACAAGGCCTTAGAGACTTCAGTGTCATTTAAAAAATATTCAGACTTTATTTGCAAATCATTCCCTATTATGTAACTCATTTCATAGTTCTGGTGTTTGCATTTGATTTGTGTTTTATTTGTGTTCAGGTTCTATTATAATATCTATCAGTTAGGATTGGGAATGGTAACTACTGCGATACCATAATAGCTCAGAAAATAACTGTTCCATTTCATTTTTGTTCTGATGAACTATGTTGAAACTTCCACCCAGGAGCAGGTTACACAAAGTGCAAATGAATCCCTCACATGTATCCCTAAGGCTGGGCACACACCTTACAACCATGGCAAGACTTTTGTCTTGCCATGGTTGTAAGGTACTTAAAAAAAAACGTACGATCTGCCTATGTTGCATAGGCAGATCGTACTTGCACCCTGAGGGGCGGGCTTCCGATGACCGCAATGCCGAACTGGGAGTGTGCGCTTGCGCACACCGGCCCGTACGGCTGTTATCGTACGGACATGCCACAAACCCGCCGAACATCGTACGATGCTCGGCGGGTTTTCGAACATGTCCGACCCACCCAGGAGCAGGTTACACAAAGTGCAAATGAATGCCTCACATGTATCCCTTACCATGGTTTACCTAATCAGGGGGATTATGGGAAGATTATGTGCAGGTGACTGTAAATCTGCCAATGAGGTCAAGTGTGCCGAGCTCACAGAAGATTTACAATTCATTCTTAATGTATATGATAAAAACGAATTGACGTACTGTGAGTGTTTTGTATTATGAACATGATTAATGGTGGATGCGTACCACCTGGCTAACCTCAGAGGTTATATCTTTAGGAAGAAAAGTCAACATTTGAATTTGCTTTGAGCTGTCTATTCCATTTTAGGAACACCTAGATAAGGGTACTAATTCTACAATGTTAGTACCACATGGTTATTTGAAACCCTCATCAGTGGCACAACAACATCTAGCTAAAGAGAATCCATTCAGAACAAAGTGACAGGGTCTTTTGAAAGCCCACTCAATACTCACCTTTGCTGCACTCCCCTGCCCCTCTGCTCGTATTATAGAGACCTTGGAAATGATTGGTGCTTCTGTGTATGGGATATCATGTGACCACCTTCCCTTCCTCCCAAGAAGCAGTGCCTGGGCCTGAGTGCCCAACCCCTAAATCCAAGCACTGTCACATGGTGGAGGTAAGCAGGTCATTGACCCTCTTTAAGCTCCAACACAGAGCTTACACTGGGTTCAGACCCATGGATCCAACAGAGAGGGGAGGGAGAATGCAATTAAGGTAAGTATCAGAGGGTGGGTAGCTTTAAAGTGAACCTGTCACTGTTCCCTATATGGTCAAAGTGACAGATTCCGTCTAATGTTTGTGCTTTCAATGTTTTTAGTATATATTGAAGGAAACATGTTTTGAGAAAACACACACACTGCTGATGCTAAATTCTTCTTATGAAAATGCTAAGCTGGTCAAAGGCTTCATACTTTCTGAGCAACTGACAGAACAGCGCGCACGCACGCACATAATATAAACGGTCATGATACAAACATCGAGGTTGCCATTGCAAACCTCCTACTGAAAAAGATGCATGTTATGCTTATCTTCTAGTTTCAATTCCTTGAGTCACTGGGGTTGATTTACTAAGCCCAATACACGCACGCATGGGCTGCGTGCGCGTTTTAATCCTCAAAAATGTATTTACTAAGTGAACACGCACATCATGGCGCGGTTTCACGCAGGTATGGCGCGTTTTTATGTATTTACTTACGCGCGTGTCGTGTAATATGCGCCATCGGCTGCACGCCACTATAATAAAAAATTGCAAGTGCTAGAATGATATTTCTACTACTGCCATACATGTGCAAATCATTCATATGATACATATGTTATTGCTATGCTTCTGTGCATACAAACATTCCACATAACACTTACAAACTGGTAAAAGACAGTATTCCAAAATTAGGTAATTACACACCAGTGCCGTGTTCGGATGTGCTCCAACCAACTGTGCAAGTTCACACGTTTTTTTGATCCTAGAAACACGAGCACGCCAATCCTGCACGATTTCTTCGTAATTCTAGCAAACACGCGACATTATGTATTCTGTACTGTCCAGAGGTGTTTGTTTTTGGCAACTTATTTTCACCTGCCAGTTTTCATGTGTTCCTCATTCAACTTATGGAGAGACTTTCATTCGTTTTTGCACTACCTAATTAATACCCCAAAAACATGAGTGCATCACAGTTGATTAAAAAATGGTTAGCTCATGCATTTACATTCCTGCATTCATCAACACAAGCAACACAACGTGCAGCTAATTACCAGAATCCACACCGCCACAAGGTACGGGGTCTCCACCATGTGCCATTCGCAACGCACCAACTGCAAGACATCCGCATGTTATGCTTATCTTCTAGTTTCAATTCCTTGAGTCACTGACTTGGAACAAGTATGTGGATCAGGAAAACGTTAGAAGTTCTTATCTGAATACATCTGCCAGGTCAGTACTGATTTAGGAAGATGAAAGTGACAGGCATCCAACTAGTATTTTCAAAAGCCAATGACAGCCTCCATGCTTCCCTCAGTACAGTTTTTCTTTAAGCCAGAGTCCTCAGCTTAGCTTGTCTATGCAGCCTTCAAGCAGCCCCAGGTGGGTTAAATGGAGACTGCAACTCCAAAGTCAAATAAGTTCAAAAAGACCACTAGTTACTGTGGGCAATATTTAAACAGGCGACTTAAAAGTTACTCTACTCCACCTGCAGGATCCAATATTTAAAAAGATATATTTCTTATTGGCAATCCATAATACATACTAACTTTTTCATCTGTGAGAAGAAACCCAACTGGTTTCTCCTCAGAGCTCTTGTCTTTATATTGTAACTAGCTATGTTTTTTGTGCTAATTACTGATACCACATGAGTATGAAGATGAGAAGTTCTTACTTTCCTTTGACTTCTCTAGCCATGTGCTAATTACCAGTCATTGGCTCAGTCATTGGCAAGAGTATAAAGGACTGAAGAAGCCAGACAGCTAGTGTGGAGAACAGCTATGACAGCCCCGATATCTCTCTTCGTACAGATCTACCTTACAAAATATTTGGACATTCAAATGTAGATGGTGTGTGTGGTGAAGTCTTTAGGCCTGTACAGTGGGTGGGGTGCTTTTGGTGATAAATAAGTGTGCATGTACCTATATTCTTTTTGGGGCACAATAATTTTGTTTCCATCTTTAAGAAAGCTGTTGTATCCAAAATTATCATAAAAGCAAGCCAGAGGTTTCCAATACATTTTGGTGCAAAATCTCCTTACCTTAGAATAATTTGTGTACTTCAACACTGCATATCCATCTTATTCACCACTGTTATTTTCCAGTATGATGAGTAAAGAATGAGCATGTTGCCTTGTCTCGCACACCAATTCCTGCCTATGTACAATATAGGCACCCATGGTAGAGTGACAGTACACCAATTCCTGCCTATGTACAATATAGGCACCCATGGTAGAGTGACAGTGCACCAATTCCTGCCTATGTACAATATAGGCACCCATGGTAGAGTGACAGTAGTGACTGGCTGGGAAAACTCAGTATGATTTCCCCTAAAAATTAGAGAGTTGTCTGCATATTGAGAGAAACGTAACAAATGATAGTGGGATTGGATTGAAGGGTGTAACACATCACAGGTTTGGTGTACTGGTAGCAGCACTATGTGGGCAGTTGGTTGCCTGCTTATAAACATGGCCATGTCAAGATGTTTTTGCATCAAGCCTTGTAGCATGACCTCCTTTGCCACCTTTGATAAAAGCAGTGGGAGCACATAATGACCAGTAATAACTATACCCATGTCCTACAACTTCTTGTTAATGCTCCTTGGTGCTGACACAGATACTTCTAGCTCATCTCCTAATCCCACTTTCTTCACACCCTCAGTTGAGGATTAAATGGATGTTTTCTCCTCCCCACCCACCTGCTGCTGCTACATATTGGGCTGCTGGTACTTGGTAGTCTGAATCTATCAACGTTTATACCCAGAATCTGAAGATCCCTCACTTGATCTTGCTTCTGTCTGCATAGTAAGATATTGTGAATCATTTTTGGGGCTTACAATGAGGGGTTATATTGCTTTAAACGTTAGCTATGGGAAGTTTATTTATTTATGTTTACGAATTATCTTCTGTAGTTACTGTGGTAGTATAATATTATTTGTCTTTGTTTTGGGTTTTTATTTGTCAAGATATTTGGCTATAATGTAATTGTTATTATACTTGCATGTCAAATGTATGATTTTTCTTTATAAGAGAAACAAGGACTCTACTGCTAGGAAAAATGCATGGATGTCAGTGAAATTACCATTTCATCGTTAGCAAAATCTAAATTTACTTTTCCAACTTCTGTTTATGAAACAATTGCCCAAAATAATACTTTGGAGAATTTGGGATGACATTGCTTTTCCTTCCAACATGAAAATGTGAAACATTGCAAAATGAACTGCTGAATGCTTCAAACATCTTATGGCCTGGTTCACACCTGGGCGTTTTGTAACACGCATATTTGATACGCCTAGGTGTGAACCCAGCCTATGAGGTGGTAAAGAATTTCCTTTTTTTCTTTTTATCCCTCTGCACACATGGAAGTGCACATTGGCTCACTTTGTTACAACCCACAATTTGTTTTTATTTATTTTTTAATAAAGTATAGTGCAGGTACCCCAATTCTGTGCTATGCCTGGTCTCTGATATCATTTAAGTGTCAGCATGCAAGTTGATGGGCATAATGCATGTATTGGTATGGATGCTCCAAATGCTACAAAAAATGAATTTGTTATTGTAAGTTAGACTCTATATTGCAAGGCAAATTGTTATGAATCACTTTAAAAGTATTTCAGTTTTACCTAACTATTAATAAATTATTTTGCTATATCATCATTCTTAAAGCATATCTAAACTCTTAATTATGTTATATATTGTAGCTTTCCAGCCCTTACATGCAAAGGCTGCATTAGTTTTTACCTTTCAGGCTAAGAACATTTTCAGTACAGAAAGTACCTGTTGATCTTGCCAGAAATGCAGTGCCATTGCCATTCACTTTAAATTGAAAGAAATCACATGGAACTTTATTTTTCTTATTTGAATTACTAGTCGCATAAATCCACAAAATAATAGGGATTAAAGTGACACTAAACTGAGAGATTAAATCTTAAAAATGCTTTGAAGTACCTTTTCTATTAACAAAAATGTAGTTTATTTGTTTATGACTCGACTGTAGATCCTCAAATCATCTCTGAATTGGTGCCGACACTGTCCCTTCTGGAGGGTGGCTACTTTTGTTCCTCATGCTCCGTGTGTGTTGTAAAGTAGTCAAGCTCACTCTCGTGATGAACTACAATCTCAATACAAATTAGCTAACTGAACATGAGATCGTAGCCCATCCCAGGAGGGAGCTTGGAGTGGTGGCTTTTTTTACAATGCACACAGGAACCATGGGGAACAAAAGTAGCCCCCCTCCAGTAGGAAGGACATTGTAGCAAAAATTCAAAGATGATTTGAGGATCTACAGCTGAGTGATACACAAATAAGATACATTTTTATTAATAGTTAAGGTACTTAAATGCATTAAAAAAATTTAACTCCGGAGTTTAGTGTTACTTTAACAAAGGCAGACATGTTTAAAGTCCAGCTTTTGTGACAACCAGGGTCCCTCCGCAGATATGGTGCAAACATTATTGTAGACATGAAGGCAAATGAAGTGTGTTTTTCACAAGATTACCAGGGAGAAAAAAGGGTGGAAACCCTGAATGCAGCCACCACACCGAAGGACTGGCAAGCTGCAATATAATGTATTGTTTTTGGGTTTAGATAAGCAAATAAAGAGAGGACCATGGGTTCCCTAGACATGTGTGATTCGTTTCATTATGATTCGGAATTCACATGAATTTACTTTATTCAGAGATTTGGATATATCCGAATCTCCTAATAACAATAGTAACGAATTTCAACGAATCTGAAAAAAAATTCGGAGATGGAGAGAGGCTCCAGGGACTGGTCTAAGAGCAAGCCATCTTGGAGGATTGGGTGAGTATAACTTTATTTTTGACCTTGGGTAAAAAGATCACCTAACCCTTGCAGTGCGGGGATAGCCCTGCTGCAAGGGTTAATAACATTTTTACCCAGAATGATGCTTTAAGAAGTTTTGAATCTGAATGTTTGTTTATTCACCTGAATATTTTTCCTCACAGCTGGCTAATCTACAAAGAATCACTTTTTATTTTTTCAAAAGTTAGTAAAAATTTATTCAATTAAAAAAAAGAATCATGTAGGTAATTTTAGGCAATTGTGATTCATGATTTCATTTTTTTTAATTCTCACATACATATATATTAAGGTGAATAAAACATGTTTGCAGTCCACCAACATGCTCATCACTATATGCAACTTTTGGGGACTAGTATATTGTTAACACACTAGAATCGGCCGGCACCTACAGCTCCATGCTGTGTAGCTCCGTGCTGTGTGCTCGGGCAGCTCCCGGGAAGGACAGGTGCTGCATGTGATTAGTACGCAGCCCCTGTCCTTCTCTATGGGACTATGCGGCCGTACGCCCCCCTACGCTCACCTCCAGTGCCCGATACGACCGTGCACGCAGCACCTGTCCTTCCAGGGGGCTGCCCGATACGGCCGTGCATGCAGCACGGAGCTGTACGTGCCGGCCGATTCCAGTGTGAATAAGGGCTTAAAGTGACATTAAAGGCACATTTTTTTCCCCCTCACCCCAACGTTAATTAAAGCACTTACCTTAAATTATGTCTTTTAATTGGATCATCATCTTCTTTACTGTAGTTTTCAGACTTCTCTCCAGCGCTGCGGCGAATCTCCGATCCAGCGCTGACTCCTCTGAGCTTACTGGCACGTACTCTCCCATTGTGTCTGCATGAGGGTGCACGCGTGCATAGACTTACCTTGTGTCTCCTCTCGCGTCCCTGCCGAAAATGTGAACTGCGCATGCGCCCGCCCCAAGATGCTTTGCGGCCACCCGTGCAGTTTCACAATGCTTGCTAGCAGTAGATATATGCAAAAAAAGCTGAGCGTTTAGAACCCCTTTAAACTTGATTAGCAACTGGTTGTAAATTTCAGTTGATTAGATTTACAAATCAGTATATCTTATACAAAAAAAAGTGTCAAGTCTCAATAAAAATGACTTCAAAATAAAACATTTGAATAACCTATAATACCCACTTGATGAAAATACACATTTATTTCCCTTTAACACATTTTTGAAGTATTGGGGCAACAACAAAAAAAAAATTAAATCCATACAACAGGTTGGTTTTGTATTTTAACTATAGCACAAACTAGATTCACTAACTGTTTCTCTGCCAACAGATCTCTGAGACCAGATACCATGAGTGGAGACAAAAAGTCCCGGTCTGTTATCTACAAGAAAACCTCCCGTGACAAGGCGGTGAGCATTCCTAACCATCTAACAGTTTTCAATAACTTTTTAAATTTCATTTTACACAAAAAAAATGTTTTAGTTAAATTTTTAGTAAATGTTTTTAATAGAATAGGGAAGGCTTAAAACCCCTGTCAGTTTGTTGTTACCTATATCCCATTCAGGGATGTACCTATAAAGAGGCAGCCTGAGGCTGTTGCTTCATGCATCATCTCTTTTGGCCACGTGGGAAGGCAGCGTGCAGAGCAGCATGACTGCTGTGCTGCGCAATGTGCCTGGAGCCCACTTACCACTCCCAGATTGCTAGGTGCTGGGTGGGAACATGTGTAAGGGTCATACACATGTCCCTGCCCAGCTTTTAGCAACCTGGGATGTGCTGGCCAGCATCATGCCTAGCTCCTGGTAACCAGTGATGTCAGAAGATGCAGAGGCCACACAACCCCACCTCCAACCCCTCGCCGACCTCCTCCCTTTAGAATGTGCACTACCAGCAACCCCCCCTTCCCCCACCTGCATTATACTATATCTAAACCCAAGAACAAAAATGTAATATATTTCAGCACCATTAGCTGCATTAGTTTTCTTTTTTTTTCTGGCTAAGAACATATTCTGCAGCATTTCTGTTGTGACAAACAATTAAATCTTATATCCTTGTAGCTTCCTGTGCACTGTGGACTAAAACCTCAAACAGTGTTATAAGCTTCCCCAGCTGAGCTACAAAACAATCCCCCTCTATGTAATGGGGATCCGAGCGGGAGGATATTGGTAGTCCAATTTGGAGGAGTAGCCAAGGTGATAACACCTCACCTTCATAAATACAGTACAGTGATTAAGTGTTGTAACTAGGGATGCACCGATACTGATACCGGAACTTCCAGTCGGGGAGATTCCCTCTGACCGGCAGCGCCACAAGGGAGCATGGAGCCAGCTTACCGGCCAATCAGGATTGGCTAGGAAGCCGGCTTCACTTGTCACTAGGCAGCCTGGCTTCCTGACCACTCAGGAAGCCAGGAGGCACATCATGACCCGCCTCCCGGCTTCCTGATTGGCTAGGAAGCCGGCTTCACTTGTCACTAGACAGCCTGGCTTCCTGACCAGTCAGGAAGCCAGACAGCACTTCATGGCCCGCCTTCTGAGTTCCTGATTGGCTAGGAAGCTGGATTCACTTGTCACTAGGCAGCTGGGCTTCCTGGCCACTCAAGAAGCCAGAAGACATGTCATGACCCACCTCCTGGCTTCCTGATTTGCTAGGAAGCTGGTTTCACACTGCCTTGCGACACTGCGAGGCAGCCTGGCTTCCTGACCAATCGGAAAGAGCTCGGCGGCAGGTCATGACCCGCTGCCTGGCATCCTAATGTCTCAGGAAGCCAGGCTTCCTGCTTTTTTTTTTTATTTGGTTCTTTTTACCACAGGATCAGTTTTACAAAACAAGTCACCTGTAAAAGAAACATTTCTATACTTACCTTTCCAACAACACGTATATTGAAAAGCCCCACTTCTCCGCTCCCCTGCCAGTTCAAGTATACTACACTTCCAGGTATGTAGAAGAGCTGCCCCCCCTCAGGTCATTGTGCTTCCTCTCACCAGCTGGTACGCCACTACAGGACTGGGAGGAATCACAGCGGCTGATGGGGTAAGTAATTGAATGTAACTGATGATCCAATATTTACAACAGGGAGCAGAGGTGTGGCGGTTTTCCAATTCATGGGGGCCACTAGGAAGGTAAGTGTAGAAAACAGGAATGGGCAAACCACCGGCCCTCCAGCTGTGGTGCAACTACAAATTCCATAAGGCATTGCAAGACTCTGGTAGCCACCGGCATGACTTTCAGAGGCAGTTGCATCATGGGATTTGTAGTTTCACAACAGCTGGAGGACCAGTGTTTGCCTACCCCTGGTATATAAGGTTCTTTTATTGGTGACCTATTGTGGTAAAGTACCCTGCAGGTACAGGGACACTTTAAGGCCCCATTCACACCAGATCTGTTGGCATGCGTTTTTCAGTGGATGTCAACGGATGGGACCCAAAAATGTATAGATGTGAATTGGACCAGTTGTGTAATGCGCTGCAGTGCACTAAAAAAAAAGTGCATGCTCTATTTTTCAGCGCAACATGCATGTAAATGCAATGCAAGTAAAAACAATATAGATAAGTTTGTCCTCTTAGTACATGCTATTTAAAAAAAAGATTGGCAAAAAAATAATTACATTAAAAAACTCAACGGATGTCAATAGAGTATGAAATTGCAAGTAAACAGACCTCCATTGACTTCCTTTTTTTAGGTCTGATTTTGGTGTAAACGGACCTTAAATTGCTGTCCCCAGTGATATCTACTTACTGTTTTCTTGCCAAGACAAGAGCAAGTGGGAGATTTCTCAGAGGGGCATAGACAGCAAAACAAAACAAAAATAAACAAAAAAACAGAGGTTCTAACCTTTCGCCACACTAAAATTAAAATGTAAACGTATTAAATGAGTGCAATTTTACTTGCTGAAAGTTCCAAAATTCAAGCTTTGAATGGCCATTTTAAGTTTAAAAAAATGGTAACATTAATTTTTACTGAATTCAGGATAAACAAATAATTATGGTTGACAATATATAGAACACTAGTAATTTTTTGGTTTAAATGGTTAAATTCTTCTAAAATCATTTTTTATATGGGTGTTAAGTAGCAACAACATTTTCTTTATCCACATACAGGTGAGTGTATATCTTGGTAAAAGGGATTATGTCGATCATGTGGAGTCTGTGGATCCAGTAGGTATGTTTAACATTCAAGAGAAGTTGGTGTAATTTTATTGTAGTTTAATTGATGATTAAACTTTGTAAATGACCAATTTGTAACTTTATAAATAATATTAAATGGAAATGGTTGTAGTTTATTATTCTTATTACCTCTTAAGTTTTTATACTTTCTTTTAGATTTGCTAAACGCCTTATTGTTACATTTGTACTGCAGATGGTATTGTTATCGTGGATCCTGATCTTCTTAAGGGAAAAAAAGGTATGTTGCCAGAGGATTAAATAGGTTAGTCTAGTACATTGCATAATGGGTCATTCATTCATTCAACCATTTTTACATTATCTTCTTAAAGCATGCCTATTCTTAGGCCTCATTCACACTATGAATCATTCAAAAATAATTAAATTAAAAAACTCAACGGATGTCAATGGAGTATGAAATTGCAAGTAGCACGTACAGCTCCGTGCTGCGTGCATGGCCGTATCGTGCAGCCCCCGGGAAGGTCAGGTGCTGCGTGTGATTAGTATGCAGCCCCTGTCCTTCTCTATGGGAATACACGGCTCTATGCTCACCCGCCCTGCATGTCTGTGCTGGTGTCTGTACTCGTACACTGACAGGATGGATCTTATCTGCGTCCGAGCCAGCACACCCGCACGGACCTGCACTTGAGGTGAGCGTAGGGCAGCGTACGGCCGCGTATTCCCATAGAGAAGGACAGGGGCCTTCAGTCTAAATTAACTCCTTTGCACCTTCAAGATGTAGATTAAGTCTTCCTGCACAATGCCCCATGCAGAGGGAGCATATATATATACACACTCTGATTTGGATTGAACAGCACAGATTGTACAGAGAAATTCAGCTCTTATTCAATAATAAACATTTTCCCTGTCCTAAATCCAACGTTATTTATTTGCTGATTCCATATACTTTTTACAGTGTACATCACCCTAACCTGTGCTTTCCGCTATGGTAATGAGGATATTGATGTTATTGGCTTGACCTTCTGCAAGGACCTCTACTTTGCACGTACCCAGGTGTATCCCCCTGTAGAAGATGTGAAATGCCTCACAAAGGTCCAGGAGCGGTTAATGAAGAAGCTGGGGAATAATGCATATCCTTTCATGGTGGCGGTAATAAGATATTTTGTTTTTTTATAAAGAAAATTGTAAAACAACAGAGACGTTTACCTAGCATTTGTTTAATTGAAAAACCAGCAATATTAGAAAGCAACGAGTTAAAAAAATCCCTTACCTAATTACACTGCCCACTTGCAGTGTCAGTCACTAGTCACTAGTCATTGGGCAATGGTACTGGAAAATTTGCTCTCTTAAATTTTTTTTCTTCTATAATTCCAGTATACAACTTAAATTAGATCAAATAATGGTCACTGCTACCCTGATTTTCTTTTATATGAACATTTGTAATGAATTCAGCATTGTTTGAGATTAAAAGATCCAGCAGAACATAATTTCTGCTTGGGCCTTCTATAAACTGTACCAATTGGAGAAAGCCTGCCTAAAAGGAGATAACTACTGCTCTTGGAAACCCTGTAGTTCTCTGGGAATTATTTTTCATGTATAAAATGTTTCTTTTACCAAATGGAAGAAAACAGTCCTTAAAAGCACTTTATGCTGACCACTGGTTGTGACTTCAAAGTTAATTACTTGAAAAATACATTAAAACAATATTAACTAATTTGCTGTCTCTCTTACAGTTTCCTGACTTCCTCCCATGCTCAGTAGCTCTTCAGCCATCTCCGTCAGATGTGGACAAGGTGAGGAAAAACTATACATTACATCCTAATGTATAACTACTGTCTAAAATCAGGATAGTAAAAGACCTTCCTCTCACCTTGATAAGAATGGTGACTCAAATGGAAATATTTGATGGAGAAAAAAAGAAATTGATATTGTGAGCATTTAAAAGGCAAATTAATGAACGTTTTATATTTTTAAATATTATTTAAATATTTGCACATGAGAATTATCTGCACAGACAAACTAGCACATATTTTTAGACAAGTACTGACACTTTTTTATGCTTACTTTAAGGCATGCGGTGTGGATTTTGAGATTAAAGCATTTTCAGCAAGCAACTTAGAAGAAAGAGTTCACAAAAAGTAAGTTAGCTATTTGTCAAAGATGATTTCTTCTATTTATCTATTTGTACTTAGATTTGTTCTTTATCTTTTGTATAAAATGAGCTAGAATATTACACATACAGTAGATCAGGTAAAACGGTACAAATGTACTATTACTTTTTTAAACTATGTTCCAGATTAATTTTTATTGTAAGTAAAAAGACTAGGAATTAGCAAAATTGGCGGTTTTCGTTATGCTGAAACTATTAGGAAATGTTTTGGAGTCAGTAGGAAGGAGACATTAGGGTTTTTGTGGTGGTTTGTAAGAGTGCAATGGGTTTTAAATTGCTCCTAAAGGTAAGGGAAACTCCTTTAAACTATTCTGGACCTGCTCTCTTGACAAATACAGCCCTCCTTCCTGGGAACATGCTGTAACCTCTAGAGAAGGGGGGGGGGCAACTCTGGCCATCCTGCAGTTGTGTAAAAACAAGCCCCATGAGGCATTGCAAGACTGACAGTTACAGGCATGACCACTAGAGGCAGTGGCATGTTGGGATTTGTAGTTAAAGGAGAACTATGAGGTGAGTGCTTTTCACTCACCTCATAGTTCTAGCCGACCTGTGACAATGAGACTGAACACATACAATGAGAGCGAAAGAGCGAACACATACCGGTGTTCGCTCACCTCTCGATCCTGTCACGGCTCTCTGCCGTGACAGGGGAGGGGCTGGAACTTCATCAGGCTTTACTATTGACGGGGACATATCGGTAAGGAGTGCGACAAGGAGAGTACTCATAAGGGTGACGGGAGGACGCTAGTTTGTGTCCTCCCGTTACCCTAGGGAGAACTATGGGGAAAAGCCTTAACCCCCATAGTTCTCCTTTGAAGCATATCTGAAGGGCCGGAGTTGCCCATCCCTGCTCTAGAGAGAGGCTCTGCCCTGGCAGTAACTTTGATGCTAACCCTTTGTTTATAAACAAAGTTATGTGATTGCCATTTTTGTTCAGGCAAATTTTGTGTGAGAAGTTTGCATGGTTAAAATTAAGACTAATTTCACTGCAAAATAAATTTCACTAAATCATTCCACTCATGTCTAACATACAGTAGATCAGTATACACTTACACCTTTTGGGATATCCTGCAAAATATGACCCTGGACCCTTGCTACATCTCTATAAATTTGTTTTTACTATAAACACAAATGCTTCAAACAGTTTAACCAACATAAAAATGTTGAGCATAAAACCTATAACCTACAATATTCTAGCTATAAAACACTTTATGATAATTCCACAGGGACCTTAATGTGAAAAGTATTCTTAAAAGAGAACTATGGGGTAACCATTTTGCCCCCATAATTCTCTTAAGGGTCATAGGAGGACATAGAGTTGTGTGAAAAAGTGTTGGCCCCCTTCCTGATTTTTCATTGTTTTGCACGTTTGTCACACTTTAATGTTTCAGATCATCAAACAAATTTAAATATTAGTCAAAAATAACACAAGTAAACACAACATGCAGTTTTTAAAGGAAGGTTTTTATTATTAAGGGAAAACAAAATCCATGGCCCTGTGTGAAAAAGTGTTTGCATCCCCTGTTAAAACATAACTTAACTCTGGTTTATCACACCTGAGTTCAATTTCTCTAGCCACACCTGTTCAAAATCAAGAAATCACTTAAATAAGACTTGACTGACAAAGTGAAGTAGACCAAAAGATCCTCAAAAGCTACACATCATGCCGAGATCCAAAGAAATCCAGGAACAAATGAGAAAGAAAGTAGTTGAGATCTATCAGCCTGGAAAAGGTTATAAAGCCATTTCTAAAGCTTTGGGACTCCAGCGAACCACAGTGAGAGCCATTATCCACAAATGGTGAAAACATGGAACAGTGGTGAACCTTCCCAGGAGTGGGCGGCCAACCAAAATTACCCCAAGAGCGGAGCGACTCATCCAAGAGGTCACAAAAGACCCCACAACAACAGCCTCACTTGCCTCAGTTCAGGTCCGTGTTCATGACTCCACCATAAGAAAGAGACTGGGCAAAAATGGCCTGCATGGCAGAGTTCCAAGACGAAAACCGCTGCTGAGCAAAAAGAACATACAAGCTCGTCTCCGTTATGCCAGAAAACATCTTGATGATCCCCAAGACTTTTGGGAAAATACTCTGTGGACTTCGCGAGACAAAAGTTGAACTTTTTGGAAGGTGTGTGTCCCATTACATCTGGCGTAAGAGTAACACTGCATTTTAGAATAATAACATCATATCAACAGTAAAATATGGTGGTGGTAGTGTGATGGCCTGGGGCTGTTTTGCTGCTTTAGGACCTGGAAGACTTGCTGTGATAAATGGAACCATGAATTCTGCTGTCTACCAAAAAATCCTGAAGGATAATGTGTGGCCATCTGTTCGTGACCTCGAGCTGAAGCAAACTTGGGTTCTGCAGCAGGACAATGATCCAAAACACATCAGCAAGTCCACCTCTGAATGGCTGAAGAAAAACAAAATGAAGACTTTGGAGTGGCCTAGTCAAAGTCCTGACCTGAATTCTATTGAGATGCTGTGGCATGACCTTAAAAAGGGGTTCATGCTTGAAAACCTTCCAATGTGGCTGAATTACAAAATTTCTGCAAAGATGAGTCGACCAAAATTCCTGCAAGTTATCGCAAACGCTTGATTGCAGTTCTTGCTGCTAAGGGTGGCCCAACCAGTTATTAGGTTTAGGGGGCAAACACTTTTTCACACAGGGCCATGTGGGTTTGGATTTTGTTTTCCCTTAATAATAAAAACCTTCCTTTTAAAAACTGCATGTTGTGTTTAATTGTGTTATCTTTGACTAATATTAAAATTTGTTTGATGATCTGAAACATAGAAGTGTGACAAATGTGCAAAACAATGAAAAATCAGGAAGGGGGCCAACACTTTTTCACACAACTGTATACTAAACTCCTCCCTTGACCCAAAGCTCAATATATAAAAAAGGGCTATAGCTCGCTATATACCAAGAGCACCACAGCCAGGACGGATCTTGACAACTGTCGAGATCCGCCCAGGTGGCTGATTGACAGCGGGCTCTGCCTATCTAAAGGCAGAGCCAGCTGTGCCCGCCCCCTCCCCGGTCTGTCCCTCCAGTCAGCACTGGAGGATCGGAGAAGGGGAGGGGGGAATCCTGACTGACAGTCACTGCTCTCTGCAAGGAGATGATCAGGAAGTGAGCAAACGATGGTATATGTACCCTCACTTCCCGATCAATAGAGCCAACATGTGACAGTTTCATTCTCACACGTCAGCTCGAACTATGAGAATGATTGAAAATACTGACCCCATAGTTCTCCTTTAAGAATTTCTTGAGCCAGGGCTATCAGTCTAGTGGAGGTGGTATCCTCTGCTACCTACCTCCCCAGGTAAAGACAGACACCTCTGAAATGCAATAAACACCCTAGGATTAATTTGGGGGACATTTATTGAGCATATTAGTGACACAAATATGTGCAGTTCAGGCTGCCTCTTCAGCTTACAGGTCTATATTCCTGGGCAGTCAAGTGTGACAGTTTGCAAAGTTTTGAGACAGATTTATTACTGAAGATGCAGCAGATTTTCCATCTAAACAGATGCATAATTAAGAAGTGGTCTGGGGCAGGTTTTATTCTGCAGATGCTATTTTAGAGCAACTGCAGTAGGAAATTATAACTCAAGCTGAAACCTTGTAGTAAATCTCTAACACGATTTGTCTCACTGCCCCTGTCTAGTCCCGCTTTGCCATGCGACAGGATTGATAAATGTCCCCCAATGGTCTTTGACACCAAAAACCACATACGACTGCTTGACTGAGTTCTATAAAGCATTCGTTCTCAAATCGTTTAATAAAAGTCCATCTGATAACCTTTCTGCAAGCATAATCTGTTCAAAATGACTTTTTAAAAATGCAAATTATTTGTTTTTTTACATTTGTAGTATTATATCACATTGTATAAAATAATTGAAATAATATAGATTGATAACAAAAAAGCATTTATCATTATATTTATAAATAATTTGTATCTGTGACCAGGTGAGTAACTTTAATCTTACTTCTGGTAGACCATGGTCCATTATTATACCATTAATGATGCATTCCCTTATATCAACAAATTAATGTGAACATTTTTCTTTTTCAGGAACTCTGTGCGACTATTGATACGCAAAATCCAATATGCCCCTGACCAGCCTGGGCCTACCCCCCGTGCAGAGACCTCCTGGCAGTTCTTCATGTCAGACAAACCTCTGCACATGAGAGCTGCCCTGACCAAGGAGGTAAAAGTGAGCCCCTCCCCCCCCCCCAAAAAAAAAGAGCTGCATTACATAGTTAGTTAGGTTGAAAAAAAGACACAAGTCCATCGAGTTCAACCTATAGAGAGATAAAAAAAGAAAAGGAAAAGCTTAAACAGAATGCTATGCCCACAATTACACCCTGTTGACCCAGAGGAAGGTTAAAAAAAAACATATAAAGCATGGTTCAATTTGCTCCAAAAGGGGGAAAAAATTGCTTCCTGATCCATTAAGGCAATCAGATATTCCCTGGATCAACAATCTCTGGTGCTTAATATACATATAAGAAATCAATATCCAGTAATATTCTGTGCATTTAGGAATACATCCAGATTTTTTTTACAGTTTACTGAGCTCACTAGAACTAGCTCCTGGTGTAGTCTATTCCACATTTTCACAGCTCTAACTGTGAAGAATCCTTTCTGTAAGCAAAGGTTAAACCTCTTGTCCTCCAGACGCAAAGAGTGCTCCCTTGTCCTTTGCAGTGACCTTAACATATATAGTTTGGCACCAAGCTCACTATATGGACCATTTATGTTTTTATACATGGTGATCATGTCCCCCCCTTAATCGCCTCTTCTCCAGAGAGAACAAATTCAGGACAGTTAATCTCTCAGCTGAAATCCTTCATGCCTCTTATGAGTTTGGTCGCCCTTCTCTGCACTTTCTCCAGTTCTACAATATCCTTTTTGTGAACTGGTGCCCAAAACTGAACTGCATATTCCAGATGAGGTTTTACTAATGCTTTGTACAGGGGCAGGATGATGTCTCTATCTCTGGAGTCTAGAGCCCTCTTAATACAAGAAAGTATTTTGCTTGCTTTAGAAACTGCAGCTTGACATTGCATGCTATTGTTGAGTCTATGATCTACCAGAACACCCAGATCTTTCTCCATCACTGACTCCCCCAAATATACTCCCCCTAGAGTGTATGACGCATAAAGTGCAGAACTTTACATTTATCAACATTAAACCTCATTTGCCAAATAAATGCCCAATCACACAGTGCATTCAGATCTGCCTGTAAGTTGGAGACATCCTGTAAGGACTGTATTCCAATACATAACTTGGTGTCATCTGCAAACACAGAAATAGTACTTTTAATCACCAATTCTATATCATTCATAAATAGATTAAACAGTAAGGGGCCCAACACTGAACCTTGGGGGACACCACTAGCAACCTCAGACCTTTCAGAGTATGAATCATTGATCACCACCCTCTGAATACGGTCTTTAAGCCAGTTTTCTATCCAATTACAGATCGAATACTCTATACCTACTGACCTTAACTTATACATTAGCCGCATGTGGGGAACTGCGTCAAACGCTTTTGCAAAGTCCAATTATACTATATCCACAGCTATTTCTCTGTATAATTTATTACTAACTTCCTCATACAAAGAAAGATTTGTTTGACAACTTCTGTCTTTTGTGAATCCGTGCTGACTATCGCTTATAATAATTTTTTCAAGCCAAAACATTTTCATGTGATCCTTGATCAAACTTTCAAGTATCTTCCCAACTATTGAAGTTAAGCTTACAGGTCTGTAATTACTTGGTAAAGACTTTTATCCTTTTTAAATATAGGCACCACATTAATCTTGTGCCAATCCATCGCTACCAAGCCAGTCATCAGAGAGTTTATAAAAATTAGATACAATGGCTTTGAAATTACACAGCTCAATTCCTTGAGGACACGTGGGTGTAAGCTATCCGGTCCAGGTGCTTTGTTCACCTTAATTTTGTCTAACTGTTTCTGGACCATATCAATAGTCAGCCATTGTGGTTCATTAGAGGCTATGGCACTGTTATCCCCATTATGGACTTGAGTTACATCCTGTTCCTTGGGGTAAAGTATTTAATATACACTGAGTGGCCAGATTATTATGACCACCCCACGTTCATTTTGAATCTTTGCGATCTTTATTTCCTTTTTACATATTTTGTTATATTTTTTGTAGTTTTCAAATGACGACTGCGTTCCTTCCATTTAATCCAAACGTAATATATCTCTTTTTACAAAGTTTATGGGAAAACATTTGCATTAAAGTGTATCAACTACTTAAAAAAGTGAGTTTCAGCTAGTCAGAAAGTGGCCTTTTGTCATTTTTTTCTTCTGAAATATATGCTATAATATTTTACCCTATACAAAGACATCACACTGGAGTCTAGCTGTGCTCTCATTGTACCTGTGTGTTAGAGGAACAGAAGCCTATTTCTGAGTTTAAAGCAATTTCCAATGATCGCTCTTCTGAGTGAAAGTCATTGTAAGCCTCCCCATACATGAGAGCACGCAAGAACACATAAGGAGGTTCCTTTTCTGCTAGCTGATAGATTCATGGTTAGTGTTAAGGCATCATAATATAACTTCAATAACATTGCCTTAAAGTGTATTTCCACTTTTGCAGGGAAATTTGAGAAAACACCACTATATGGTTGTTATGTGTTCCCATTCACACATCATACTAAAAATATGTATTTCTTACCTTTTAGATGTCTCTGTGTAGCAGGCCTCTGCAAGCTTCTCTCTCAATTTCCAAGTGGCAGAAAACTCTGTCCCCATATAAAACCTAGGGACAGACTGAGCTTCCTCTCATTTACATACAATGCTTCTACATCTTTAACCCTTTGGTAGGACAGTGTTCAGTCTAGTTTACTGATGAGATCTCCCAACACAGTACAGACAGGGTTAATTATGTTAACATTATCCTCCCCAATACCCTCTTGCAATCAAGACTAAAACTTATTACAAAGGAAAACTTTTCTTTCAGAATAGATCATGTATTGTGCAAGCAGCAAATAACAAAAACAATTAAGTTTGGCTATGTGAATGAGAAATATAAAACAAATATAAAGAAAGGTGTTATCCCAATTTGGCTGCAAAAATTCATGCTCCTACCTCCCACCATTCTCCTGTTATTTATCTGCAGGTTTTTTATCATGGAGAACCCATTTCTGTGGCTGTAACTGTGACCAACAAATCAGATAAAAATGTCAAGAAAATATCTGCTTCAGGTAAGTTGCTAGAAGAACTTTTTTTTTTTTTTTTAATAAAGGGGAGTAAAAGAAAAGAAGAAAAAAATACTTAAGGCCCTTTCACAGATATACATTGGAAAGAAGTTGCTGTACCTGACCTAAGACTTTACAGAGTGCTGCCAGGATGGTGACAGGAGTCCATTCAAGAGATTTATTTCTTTAAAGGGACACTAAACTCAAGAGTTAAATCTTAAAACGGACCTTTACCCCCTTTGGCTAAAAAACACATCAGCATGCAGCTCTGCATGCTGATATTAGATCATTTTACATTAATTAGTTAACCTCCTGCCATCCGCCCGTTAAGAAAAAACGGACGAACGGCAGACTCGCATCAGCCAGACGGCATTTTTTTCCTGCTTGCGCGTGCCCCCTAGCGGGCGCACACGGGAAGGCAAGACCCTCTCGTTTTTACAACCGTTAACGGCTGTTTCACATACAACCGATCAGCGGCTCTATAGCCGCCGATCGGTTGTATGACACGATTTTGTAGCCTGCCTCCCCGTCCATCGAGTGCTGCCACCCCCCCTCCCCCTCCTGACCCCTCACCTTCAATCCCGGGATCCGCTACCATATCAGAGCGCCGGGACCGGCTCGGGAGGGCGTCAGGAGGTAGATGGGAGGGAGATCAGCATCTTCCTCCTTGCTAATCTCCGTCCGGGCTGTGAATGCAGAAGTGATGTGTATTACATCACTTCCGCATTCACCTGTCAGTCATCTGGCTGCTATAGCCAGAGAGAAGAAGCTGATGAAGCAGATCTCTGCTTCATCAGCTTCTTTTGGGGTCCCCAGGTGACATTAGGGGTCCTAGAGACCACTAATGTCTCCATAAAGAGGACCTGTCAGTGTGCCTTTGCTAATATATAGGGGGATTGTATCCCCCTATGTAATACTAATAACCATAAGTGTATAAAAAAAATATATAAATAAAAAAGTTTAAAAAAATAAGTCACAAAAAAAGTAAACCCCCCTTAAATGTTTAAGTCCCCCCCTTCGTTTACGCACATATAAACGTGCGTCATACCGCGAAAACGACAATTGCGCTACACATGTTACATATCACCGTGAACGTCGAAGTGAGAGCAATAATTTTAGGGCCATCAATCACTGATAACATCAAATTGATGAGCGGTAAAAGCTTTTAAAGAGTTGCCTATGTAGCTTTTTGAGGTTTCGCGCGCGTGCGCAATTTTAAGGCTTGACATGTTTGGTGTCTTTTTACCCGACGTGACCCCTTCTTTTATATTTTACCAAAAAATTGGGTAATAATAAATGTTTTAGAATTTAATATAGGGGAAACAATTAATTTTTTAAAATTTTCTGTAAATTTTCCTTAATATGGTAAAATATTAAAACCCCAGTGGTGATTAAATACCACCAAAAGAAAGCTCTATCTGTCCCCAAAATAGGGTTTAAAATTAATTTCAGTACAGCGTTGCATGACGGAATAAACATCAGTCAAAATACCGCAGCGCTGAATACTGAAAAATGACATGAATGGGAAGGGGGTTTAACACCCCGGACTTCAAGTGGTTAAACAAACATATATTTTTTTAACTTACAAGTATTGTTTTTTCACTTCCTGGTTCTTTTTGGCAAAAGTGATATAATGTGCCCAAGTGTTGCATCCTGGGAAGGTTACATCAGCAGAGCATTGCTGGGAAATCTCATCTGTAATCTCATGAGATCTCAGGGAAAGGCATTTTCCTCACCTGAGATGACGCGCATGGTCATATGTCCTAGAGCTTCAGGAAGTAACGGGAGATGGATTCATCTGCCCTTAGTAAAAATGGCCACTGCCAGAAGAATGGTGAGGAAAAGAAAAACAAGGTATGCAAAAAATTAAACGCCTGCAATTATCTATAAGTATCTGTTTGTAGATTGTCATTACTAAACATGTCTAAAGGTGCCTTTGTTGTTTTTTTAAGATATGGGTAAAATTCCTCTTTAAAAATGCATTCAAGTACATTAACTAATAACAAAATATGTATCTTATTTGTGTATCACTCAACTGTAGATCCTCAAATCATCTCTGAACTGATGCCGACACTGTCCTTCCTTCTGAAGGGCGGCTCCTTTTGTTCCCCATAATCTCACATTTACTTTACTAATTTGTATTGAGATTGTAGTCCATCACAGGAGTGAGCTTGGAGCGCTGGCTACTTTACAACACACACAGGGACCATGGGGAAAAAAAAGTTGCCACCCTCCAGAAGGAAGGACAGCATCAGCATGTTTTCAAGGCATGTTCACACCATGTCCGGACCAGATCTGGGCCAGAACAGTTTTTGTCCGCACCAGGAGTGCATCCCAATGTATTCCTTTGGTATTTCTGGGCTTTGTTCACACCAGTGCAGTCCATTCTGTTGCGGGGTAAAAGAATTCTACATGCACTATTTTTTCTGGACTGGAAAACACCGAAATGCATATACACACATCCAAACTACATGCAAACGCACTGGACTGCACCTGAAAGCCCATTTTAAGCTAAAAAAAAAATAGTCAAAAACGCACTGCGTCTGCAGATCTGCTCCATATCTGGTCCAGACATGGTGTGAACAAGTCCTCAGAGATGATCTGAAGATCTACAGCCGGGTGATACACAAATAAGGTACTTGAATGTATTTTCAAGATCAACTCCTGAGTTCAGTGTCACTTTAAGGACATTGGGAATTCACTCTGCATGCAATGGTTTTATAAACTACACCCTATCACAAAGCCCTGTTGCATAGTGGGAATACAAAAATACTTGGGTTTACCAGAAGTAAAGTTTGAGCATCACTCTGGTGATAAAAGTTGTAATTAATGTAGATATTTGGACAGCAAATAGCTCATAAAATATGTACTGGTTACTGTATAGAATGTATTTTTAATATTACTGTGTGATTTTAAAATGGGGCAAATATGCAATACCCACTAACGGTCATTCAGGATTCCTTGTATAGAATGCATTGCACTTTTTAATTTGTCTGTCAGTGAATGGGTCATGCAAAGTATCAGCCTAAGAAAAAGATAAAAAAGCTGAAAGGAGTGCCACAATTATGTCTTTTTTTATGTTGCAGTGGAGCAAACTGCTAATGTGGTGCTGTATTCTAGTGACTTCTACACCAAGACTGTGGCTTTCGATGAGTCTAAGTAAGTATTATCACAGAGAGTAGAATTTGTAAACTTGGATGCCTTTTTTAAATGATCTATTTTTATTGAACAAGGAAATTGTACAGTTTTACCATATACATATATATGTTATAAGCAAAGAAATATATAGAGAGAGTATTTATGCCAATAAAGAGAATTTAGATAGAAAACAAGGGCTATATTACTGCTGGTAAGAGTGGTATATGGATTGAACAAAAAGTGGTATATGGATTGAACAAAAATGTTATATTGCTGACAGGAGAAGAAGAAGAAAGCAGTACATGATAAAACATTGTATTCTGTACACAAGCATGATCAGACTTTGGGATATTTAGTGTATCCAAATTGGTAGTATGTATCCTCATTATATGTAGTATATAAAATAACATATTATCTAGGGAAGAGGGAAGACTGGATTAAATTAATGTAAGGGTATTTTTTTCATAAATGTATACCCCACAATGTAACTTGGAGCTGTCATTAACTGGCTGAATATTCTAACTCTAGTTATAACTACTAAGGCAACACAGGGGGGAGCATGAGAAGGTACTTACCTAGACAGGATTGGTCTTAGCTAAAGAATAGCGTGGCAAGAAGAATAGGCATGAAGTTCAGGATCAAGGCTACCATGGTTTCAAGGTGCATCCTGCAGGTTCAAGGTTCATACTCCAAGCAATGGGCAGATTCACCTGGGAGAGTTTTTTTTAAACCATAATGCACTGCATGGCATTTGAACTATGGCTAGCAGGCTTTGAAGGGTGAATAAGGGCACTTTTGGGTAGGTCACCCCCCTCACTATGAAAGGGGGCACAGGGCAGCCATAGTGTAAAGGGTAAGCTGACAAATTGGATAGGGAGAGATTAGAGTCAGATAGGGAATTGTACATTAATTCTGATTGCTAGCTTTGTGGGCAAGCATCCCCTTGGCTGCTTTTTTTGTTCTTATAATTTTGGAGCATTTTGTCTTTTATTTGTATATGTGATTAATTTGAGGCCAGTGGTCACTTTTAGCTGCTGTTATATCCATAGCAAACACTTTGTATTTTATTTTGCTGCAAGGCATAGCAGACTCGAATCCGGTCTGATACTACTACTGATACTCCTCTTGGTAACAAGCAGAATATAGAATCATTGCATCAATGATTCCTTAAAGTATATGCAAAGCCATAACTTTAAAAAGAAAATTTGGATAGAGTAGGGAAGGATCAATCAGTTTATTTTTTGCTGTCTGTGTCCCATTGGAAAGATCCTCCTTCACGTCCTGTCCTGGAGATGCAACAGAAAGTGAGAGGAAATCTCTACAAAATGAAGGGAATTCCTCCCTTTGACAGTTGTCACTGATACAGGTATCTCTATGGATGACTTATTGTCACTTCTTATTCTGGTGACAACTGTAAAAGTTCTGCTTTCTCATCACTTTCAGTCTCAGAGGCAATGGCCACCATAACAAGTTTAGAGGGTGAAACTACCTGTTGGGGACAGAGAGCAATAAAAAAAAACTGACAAATCTTCTATTCCCTACTCTATACAAAAAAAAAATCTCTTGACTTACACTTTAACTTGTGTTTATTAATGTGTTACTGCATGAGCTCCACTGGGGTAGGGAACATTGACACTCCAATTGTGGTAGAACAACAAGTCCTATCGGGCATTGCAAGACTGACAGCCATGGTCATGACTCCCAGAGGCTGATAGGATCTGTAGTCTCACCACAGCTGAAGTGCCAAGGTTGCCTACCTCTGAACCCTGGACTATACCAGCCTAGTTTGTTATATTGCATTCCTTGCATGGCCATGAGCTGAGACTGAAAGTGGCAGCTGCGTAAAATTAAAGACCCATTTCTATCATTTTGCAGCCAAAAATGGTTCCTAAATTTATATATATCTTTTTTTTCTTGGTGATATTTACATTTATTTTACTCTGTTAGCTTAATGTTATGTCCTTTCTTTCTCCAGTGAAAAGGTGCCATCAAAGGCCACTTATAAGCACACTTTCACCCTTCTGCCTCTTCTGGCATATAACCGAGAGAAGAGGGAAATTGCTCTTGATGGGAAACTGAAGCATGAAGACACCAATCTGGCATCTAGCACTCTGTAAGTTTAGATGAAGGCACTTCGGGGACAACCAGCATCTTATTGTTTGTACACTTTTTAAAATGATGGTGTCCGGCATTATTAATTTTGCCAAGATTTAAAAACTTTATTAAAGGAGAACTATGGGGTTAAGGCTTTTCCCCATAGTTCTCCTTGGGGTAACGTAACGGGAGGACACAAACTACCGTCCCCCCGTCACAAGCTCAGTATACTGAGACGCCGCAGCTGAAGCGGATCCCGACAATTATGTCAGGATCCTCCCATCTGCGTGAGTGACAGCTGGCTCTGCCTATCTAGAGGGGGGAATCCAGCCCCCCCCCTGTTATGGCAGGGAGCCGTGACACGATCGAGAGGTGAGCGAACGCCGGTATGTGTTCGCTCACCTCCCGATCTACTGAGCCGACCTGTGACAGTCTCATTGTAACAGGTCGGCTAGAACTATGAGGTGAGTGAAAAGCACTCACCTCATAGTTCTCCTTTAAAAAACTGCCGCTGTTTTTAAGGTAAGTTGTAATCACATTAAATATTTTCTGTTTACTGACACAGTCAACTCTTGTGTAACAAATTAATAGGCACTGCTAGCCAGAACAGAGCTCCCCCCTGTGCTACAGTCATATTGACTCAAACATATCAAGGAGAGCAAGCAGTGAAGCAAATGTGTATTTTCAGCCTCAAAGTATATGAATATGTTTATGGCTTACCTTTCTTTAGCTGCATTGGTGTTAAATAGCAATAAAAAAGAGACAAACATAATGAGACTGAAATTCAGAAACATATATATATACTGCTTTGCTTAAATCATAGTAATTTATAAGCCATGTCCTGCCAGAATTAAAGTGAACATTTTGTTTAGGGACCTGCAAACTCAAAATGCAACCCTTCAGTAAAAAGACAAATAACATTTCAAAGCTTATTAGAATTTTGAGATACAATTTTGTTTATATGGTGAGAGATTCACCTTCTGGAGCTTCCTGACATTAAAGGAGAACTATGGGGTCAGTGTTTTTCCCCATAGTTCTCCTTAGGGTAACGGAAGGACACAAACTAGCGTCCTCCCGTTACCCTAAGCTCAGTATACCGCGAGCTACAGCTCGCGGTATACTGAGACGCCGCACCTGGAGCGGATCCCGACGTAGATGACGGGATCCACCCAGCTGCGTGAGTGACAGCTGGCTCTGCCTATCTAGAGGCAGAACCAGCTGTACCCGCCCCCTCCCCAAAACATTATCTAAATACAAGAAACGTGTGTATTTTTACTAGACTCATGGTGTTATTTGTATATTTCTTCCAAATCTGTGCAGTAGTCTGGCAAGAAACTTTGCCTTTGTGCAGGAGCTTCCTGTAATAAATACCAGTCACTGCTGCTTTCTCTGCTTTGTGCAGGGTGACTGGTCTTTTATCTGACCCCTTCTCTAGTTTTCTGCAGGCGGCCTGTAGTAGGTGGAGACTGCTGAGTCCCTCCCACAGCTCTGCTCTCTGCAAAGTCTATATACAGCACAGTGATGATGTCACTGCTATTTTGTATAGTGTAACTTGATTTCAAAGAGGATTTATCTCCTTTGCGGCTTATAAGAAGTATATTTTAAACATTTTTTAGGCCTGGTGTTCAACTTTAACAAAGAAAAAATGTATTGCAAATAAACAATGATCTGTGCCTATTTGTTTCTGCAGGGTTATAATTACATGTTTTACGAGTATTTATATCACACCAACAATTTATGTTGCACTTTGCATATTCACATCAGTCTCTGCCCTCAAGGAGCTTACAATCTAAGGTCCCTATTTCACATGCATTTATGCAGGCATGATTTTTAGACAGGAGCCAATTGGCCTTCCAGAATGTCTCAGACAAGCACAGGGAGAAAATGTAAACTTCACGCAGATAGTGTCCTGCCAGGATTGGAAATGAGGACCCCCAATGCTTCACCACCATGCCATATATTTATAGTCACATATAAATATCCCATTAGTGAATGGTCAAAAGAGAGTCAGAGTGGAACATTCCTCATATGAAGATGTGGACCAAGTCATCTTGAAATTTAAAATAAATCCCAGACATAGATGGTATCCACGAAATTATTTTTTGATACGTCTCTATAAGAAGCCAAGGCCCACCGTGACATGTTACACCAGTGGAAAAAGAGGCTAATTAAAAAAATGCGACAAATGTTTACATCTATTATATCTGTTTATTATACGATTGTCTTCTTTGTTATACAGCATGTCTTTTGTATTTAATTTTAGCTACACAGTATTCACACATTGATCCAAAATGGCAAATACATTATCATTAGATTTGATTACTGACTACGCCTTACTCTTTTTCCCAGTCTAAAAGAAGGCACTGATCGCACTGTCATGGGAATATTAGTGGATTACAAGATTAAAGTGACTCTCACTGTCTCTGGGTAAGTGATATATATTACATTTTTTTGCAATTAGGATCTAACTATTATGTGATCTTAAAAATTAGTATTACTGTGATTAAATGGAGCGCTACCTTTAAAGTGACTCAGAACAGTATACCACGCGGATGATGTATTGTCTCAGGAGGCAAAAAGTCACATGACTAGTTATAAGACTTTTTTCACATAAATTTGTTTCAGTGTAAAGGACAAATTCTTCCTAGCAAACTAGAAAAGTCTTACTGCGGAAGGTAAAGGTCATGGATTCTTGAACTGCATCACACCCTCAGGGGACAAGCAGAGTATACTCATGAAAAATGCCCTGGTTGTCCCAGACGTAGAAGGAAGCCTATCAGTGAAAACCCTTGCTAATAACGGTCCCACAGTTCAATTCAGAGGTGATGAATGTGCAATCCAAAACAATAAGCAAATCCTCACAAAAGGAAAATTGGATGAACACCTGTACAGACTCATCACTGCAGACGAACAAGTCAAGACAGCCACTCATAATCCACACAACAAATGTATCTACCTATGGCACAGACGACTAGGGCACCAACATCCAGAAGCTATAAAAGACATTATAAAGAGAGGCTTATTAGAAGATATAACCGTACTGCCCTGCCAAATGCTCATGACTAGTGATGGTCCGAACACACCAGAGTTCGGTTCGAACTTATAACATGGAAAAAATTTGAACTTCATATTCTAAAATTGGAATGATACAGATTAGCATGGCCCCTGTGCAAGGATGACACGCAAATTCATAAAGCGTTCCATATTTTTTCATAACCTTTTTTTTTCGCCGGGGGAACCGCATGCCTGCCTGGTTTTGTTGAGTCATGACACAAAGACTTAGGTAAACATCTTTCAGAAGAAGAGTGGGATCTCTCTTTTACACATCAGTTGTCTCTGTCCTGCTACATACAGGAGAAAAGTTATAAAGTTTTATCTGGTTGATATAGGGATCCTGCATCCTTACATTGTATTTTCCCTTCCACATGAGATCTCTGTTGGAGGTGTGAGAGAAAAAAAAGGAACTTGCCTGCACATTTGGTGGAGCTGTCTTTTGCTTCAGCCTTTCTGGCAAAAAATGTTTGAGATTAGTTCCGTGCTTTGTGGTAGGGCTATTGCACCTTCTCCCAAAATCGCTCTTTTGTCGCTTTCCCGGATCACATTAATTGCTTTTTGGCATACATAGGCCTGGAGATCAGATTTACATTTGATATAATCTCTTGAAGCCACATTGGCTTGCTTTTTCATAGTTCTTATAGGCGGAACCACAGGCTCTAATCACATCATTATGAGCTGCATAACTCTCGTTTTATGGTCCAGTGGGAACTAGACTGCGCTTGACTCAAAGAGAACATATGCAAAGTGTTTTGGGCAGCTTTTTTTTTAATTACAGGGTTTTAGAAGTAGCAGTCCCATAAAGTATGCACTTAGGGTTTCTTTAAAATGAGTGGTGTCTGACCCTGCATTGCATTCCCTATTGGTCTGTCTGCAGTTCTTTTAAAAAGCTGAAGAAAATTACAGGCTAAGACATTTGAGTACAAATCTTTATTCACTGTAGCACCATGCCTCTGCTTAAATTATGTATAACAGACTTATTTAAACACGTATTATTTATTGTTTGTCCAATCCATAATTATTTTTTTGCTTTCTCCCCCCCTCTGGCAGCTTATTGGGAGACATGACTTCCAGGTATGGAATCATTAGCATTTTACCCACCTTGTATACTAAAACAAGTGTTTGTAGTCCAGTGATTGTCAAGGCCGTCTATTCTCATTTAGGATCAGGCAGGAAATCTGGCAGTTTTTGTTGGAATAACTGGTCTGTCAGATTATCTGTGGGCCATTGTGACTTCTGAATGGCTAATCATTCACTGCAGCTCAGCTCACAGTATTCTCCCTGGAGAGAGCAGTGACTGGAAGTCACCGCTTCCTGCAGGGATTCCCTCCCCTCTCTCTATTCGTCCATTGCTCATTGAAGGGACAGGGGAGGGGATAGGCACACCTGGCTTTGGCTCTAGAGAGGCAGAGCCATCTGTCAATCAGGCAGCGGGGTGGATCCCAAAAATATTATCTGGTTCCTTCCTAGCTAGAGTGCGGCTCTGGACTGTCTGCATCTGGGCGAGTAGTAGCCCACTATATGCTGAGTTTGGGTCACAGGAGTACCTCAGTAAAGGTCTACCAGGTCAACAATAAAATTATGCAATGTCACCCAAACCTATATCTTCACTGACAGCAGAATACTGAACTGCACATATAGATTATTTTCCTTTGTGTTAGGCAGACTTTTCACTGTGTTATTTTTTCTTTGCAGTGAGGTCTCTACAGAACTTCCTTTCATCCTCATGCATCCCAAGCCAGACAATGGGGGTAAGAAATAGTTTCAAGTCAACACTGATTGTCAAAATCACAAAATGGATAAAGAAAAATAGTTAATGAATTCCAAAGTAGTACTAGCGGTATAACAAGCAGTAATATAATCATATGGATGTTGTTTTTTAAGGCTAATACTAAACTTGCCTTACCGCAATGACCACTATTGTGAACTATGTTCTATTTTATGTTTCATGATAATATCCCATATACAGATTTACAGATCTGTGGCACATGTATCTATATTCCAGACAGTGAAATAAACATCCTTGATTAATAAATACTATAAAAATATCATATAGAGTACTCAACAAGATATCTGGAGAGTGTGGTGTTATCCAGACCTATTATAACCTGAACTGGAAAGGGTCTAATAATTCTTTGTGGAATTCCAACAGATATCAGTGCAATATTTGTAACTGATCTGTCCATTATTTTATGTCTCTCTCTCTGTCTCTCTCTGTCTCATTATGTTTGTCTCTTTTTTTATTGCTATTTAACACCAACACAGCTAAAGAAAGGTAAGCCATGGAAACATATTCAGACTTTGAGGCTGAAAATACACATTTGCTTCACTGCTTGCTCTCCTTGATATGTTTGAGTCAATATGACTGTAGCACAGGGGGGAGCTCTGTTCTGGCTAGCAGTGAGTGGATTTTGGTGAGTGGTGAGTGAATGGCTCCGATAATCTTGCACATAGGTATATTTTGGCTCAGTAGACATAGGTTGGGCCTCCAGGCTCAATGGTCTATGTCCCTAACATCAAGAACTTCCATTCTATAGATGTTACCTGATCAAAGATTTAAGTTGTGCTTCCCCAGTTGTTTAGGTTGTACCATTTGCATTATAGCTATAGCCAAGGCTAGCCTGGTTAGGTAATTTCACACTACCGTCTTATATCTTGTCATTAATAGTCATTTTTTCCTCTTACACAGTGAACAGGAAGAAGATCTTGTATTTGAAGATTTTGCACGTGATCAACTTAAAGATGAATTGAAAGGTGAAGATAAAGAGGAAGAGGATGAAGATGAGAAATGAGTGGAAAGTCAAACTTCATCTTCCCTAATGTATATTACACCCTGTAACTTGCATTGCAGCTTATATTATCCCCTTTCCACATCACAGTTGAAATTGGAAACAGGAAGAAATTCTTGGGTAGTCTACTTTATAATTTAATGCTTTATGTTCTCTTTGGGTGTTGTGTCAGAGTTGGTAGTTACATGCGTATTAAATCACGGTGTTGTCCTTCAAACGATTAAAAGTGACAAGTAGAAATCAGTGAGACCTACTCATAATTTGTGGAAATAAGTATATATGTTATGCTACAAACACTAAACAATAAAAAATGTTTTTGAGTTTTCTAGTTAAAGATGATATGCATGAATAAAAACACAAGGAAACATTCTCTTTTCAATAATTTATTAAACCAAAATATCCATAGAAGTGATATCAATGGTGAACTGTGGTAAAAGTAAGTTAATCCTTTTCCTCAGAACTTGAAATTGTCCCCTTTAGAATAAATGACTGCTTGTGGCCATTTTGCATAACTGCCTACATTGGTTAGGTAAAATGTCTAACCACTCCATGCAAAATCCTATTAACAAGTTTAACATGTTTGTGGGTTTCCTTGGACGAACTGCCCATTTCATATCAGGACTTTGAATAGGAGAGTTCAAAACATTCAATTTCTTCTTTTCAAGGCAGTCCTTGGTGGACTTGCTACTATTCTTTAAACCATTATCCATTGCACCATTAAACCATTGCATGTTGCATCCATTTCAGTTTCTACTTAAACATGTGTCAAGATGACCTCACAATCTTATCAATGATACTTTGATATGATACAGAATTCATAGCTGACTTGATGGCAGCAAGCTTCCCAAGTCCTGAAGCAGAAAAGCAACAGCAAAACATAACATTTCCACCATCATGAGGTTCTCCAGTGAGCTTAAAAAGCCTTGGACTGAAGTTAGGTATAGGACATGGTGACATTGACAAGACCTGCTTTTATTTGTGCCTAGAAAAAGCATAAATTATGATGATATCTTGTTAAAAACAGTTGACTTTAGTAATTTGAAGAAACTTAATTGCTGTCATCAATTTTAGTGCAGTCCAAACATCTCTATAAGTCAGTATGAAATTGTAGAGTTGGTTTTTTTTTAATGCTTGGCCTGATCAGTGACAAGCCTGCATAGAGTCAGGGCTCAGCTGTGAGAGCATAACACTGAGGCCCGGTCAGGAGCGTCCCAAGGCACGGTGCAACCCAGAGCAGGTACCGGTGACGCCATGCGCTGTTACCTGCCTGCGGCTATCTTGGTGATAGAAGGCAGCAGAGAGAGGAGGGGACATTCACCCAGCAGGATAAGGTATGCTGCCAGGTCCCCTCCAGTCTCGAGCAATTGTTGGACTCTCGTGCGTTCTCGCCCGGCTTTTCAGAGGAGGTGGCATCAAAATTTTGGTGTCACCCCTCCAATGGTGTCACCCGGGTGCAGGCCACACCCCCTGAAGCCCCCTAGTGACGCAACTGCGCCTGTTCACACTTAGGTGAACTGTGACCGCACAGCAACCATGCACGAAACCGAGCGGATTACAGCGCACTCACTGAATCGCACACCACCGCTGATCACGCTGGTGGTGCCATTCTCTTCTAAAAGGCACCCCAGTTGCAGCAGGCAGATTGCACGGTTTCCCGTCGCGATTCCGCCTGTGCAATTGCGCACGATCGCGGCTGAAAAAAAAGGGGGACCCCTGTCACAATAAAAGGTACATGTACCTTTTTTTCAGTGATTTCTGCGGGGAATATAACCCCACTAAAATCAAAGAGGCCACGTGGCAACAGATGTGTGCGATCGCGCAAAAATGCACAGGACTTGCATCCAGGGATCTCCCAGGTGTGAACCTGCCCTAAAGGTGTCTGGTTTTTGCCTAGGATTCTAAAGGTGTTGTATTAATGAAGTACTGCTTTGTAATAGTTGTCCTCAATGAATGGACTAGCTTTTACTGCTGATGTGCCTCTTGCATTTCTGTAGCTTTTGTAGGTATGTATTAAATTTGACTTTCTGGTAGTTGTTGTCCTTCTCCTTGCACAGACTAGCTTTGACTGCTGATGTGCCTCTTGCTCAAAGCAGAAGTATTGTTCAGTCACACCAGTAGTTAAACCATGCATCTTACTGCATTTTTTTCTTTGGAGCAATTTGGGTGCTGGCCACAGCTTTTACAGCTTGCTGAAAAAGCTCAGTTGGGAGAGCCTTAAGGTGCCCACACACCTTGCGATAATCGTACGATTATCGTAAGGTGTGTGGAAGCCGTGCGACCTCTACTACTGTAAGGTAGCACGACTTTTATCTTACGAACATGTTCGAAAACCCGCCGAGAATCGTACGATTTTCAGCGGCTGTGTAGCATGTTCGTAAGATAAAAGTCGGACGGGCTGGTGTGCGCAAGCGCACACTGCCCGTTTGGCATTGCGTTCATCGGAAGCCCGCCCCTCAGCGGGGTGGGCTTTGCGATCATCGCAAGTACGATCTGCCTGTCCAAGATAGGCAGATCGTACGCTTTTTAATTACCTTACAACCATCACAAGACAAAAGTCTTGCGATGGTTGTAAGGTGTGGTCCCAGCCTTAGAATGAAAATCTATATCCTGGGTTTTGGCAGCTGTTGTATGTATAGAAAGGATCAAGCACCGTGTAAACAGTTCTACTAAACATTAAACAGGATAGCATTTGCTTGATAGTTTCACTTTCATGTGCCTCTTGTTCTTAAAAAAGTGGTTACTAAATTACACCATTATAAAAGGCATGAAGAATGCTGCATGATTTCTTTGTGGCAACATGCTTAGACATAAAAAAAAAAAAGTTGATTACCAATTGGATCCCTTAGCACCAATGGTTTCCCATTGTCTTTCAAAGGTTACAGGCTGCTGCTTCTTCAATACACAGAAAATGAGAAGCATGACCATTCTTTCCTAGAAAAGGAAATACCACTTACCGTATTTTTCCGTCTATAAGACGCCCCCCCCCTTTTCTTACCCAAAATTCAGAAATCAATATTCTCCATGCTCTTTTGCATAACTGATTACATCCAGTTTAAATTTTGCAGAGTAAGACAGCTGCTTACTGGTACTTTTTTTTGTTTTCTGATATTTTTATGGGCTCCCTGTTGCATCTGGGCACTGGCTACACGCTCTCCGCAGCATCAGCTGACGTCAGGTACATAAGGCTCATGATTGGAGGAAACCGCCAATACTGAAACTTGTTAAAGATGTCACCAGCACACCCTATTGAAGTGAAAAACACGTCTGTTTATTGACGCTTCATTTCAAAACAAATAGCATCAATGTCAGGGGGTTGGAGGGAGTACTTTTATGTTCATTTGCACTGTTGGTTTGTCTATATAAGATCGGTTTTTCTTTAGCTATATTGTAATTTCAAACCTGATGAAGGGGATCCTGTGTGGCCCAGAAACGTTGCTATTTGTTTTGAAATGAAGCGTCAATAAACAGACCTGTTCTTCACTTCAATATGGTGTGCTGGTGACATCTTTAACAAATGTCTTATTTTGCCTTCTACTTTAGTCTGAACAAAGATTACAATATGTTCCACTGTTTTCAGGCCACTTCGGTCCAAATGGTTACTTAACATAAAAAGCAAGGAGGGCGACAGATAAAGTTCCTTTTGCAAAGAGTATTTTCCTTCACTCAGCAGTTGTGGCAACAGAACTGCAGCTGGATTAAGTATTCTTTAGAAAAGCGTCATTGGATGTCTCCTAATGACAAATGCAATGGCTGCATGTGAACTAGTCGTCAAGCCTTCTGTGGCAGCCTAATGAAGAACACAGTAGTTAGGCCATGCATCTCGAGGCCCATCTTTGCAGCAATGGCAATATTCAAGGGCGTGGCTTGTGGATGGTGCCCTCGCCAATTGATGAAATAGCTCAGTTGGGAAGGCATTAGATAAAAGATCTAAAGGTGACTGGTTTCGGCAGCTGTTTAAATCACGCATATTTTGCCAAAAATCCAATTCTTCTCAGTAGAACCATTTCACACTAAAACATAGCTGTGGGGTGAAAGCCCAGCATGCTTAATTTTGCCAGTGCTGACCTACATTTTGCCAATCCAATCAACTGGACTGCTTTAAAGACATTATGCAACTTGTCTGAAAGGCACACTCACACAAATCACCTTAACAAGTGTGTTCTGGTGTGAACAAGACCTAGTTGGCTCTGAGAGATAGTAAAAGTCATGACAACACCAAAACTAGTCTGTGACAGCAGGCAGGTGAAATCACCTGGGTGTATCCAGAATGGCATATATGTATGTCCCAGGTTCAGGATGTATGCAGATTTATTTCCACTAGAGGGAGTGCTGGGAGGCTGGAATGGTAGAGGTAATGAGCCCGGCTGAAGTAAGCTGTCTCATTAGGGCCTCTATAATGCTGGGCACACACCTTACAACCATGGGTTACATGGGTGCGATGGTTGTAAGGCAATTAAAAAGCGTACGATCTGCCCATCTTGGACAGGCAGATCGTACTTGTGATAATCGCAAGCCCGCCCCGATGACCGAAATGCTGAACGGGCAGTGTGCGCTTGCGCACACCGGCCCGTGCGGCATTTACCTTACGAACATGCCACACCCCCGCCGACAATCGTACGATTTTCGGCGGGTTTTCGAACATGTTCCTAAGATAAAAGTCGTGCGACCTTACAGTAGCAGAGGTCGCACGCCTTCCACACACCTTGTGATAATCATATGATCGCGGGATTTCCCGCGATTATCGCAAGGTGTGTGGGCACCTTAAGAACTCCCAGACTGCTCAAAGAATTGCTCCACCCTGGAACCAGTTTCATGCCTGAGTAGACTGGGGAGCTTCCTGCTGACCTGTGTGGTGACAAAGAAAACAATCTTGTGTGGTGAGACACAGCCTGTGTGGCAGTTGACTGAATAGGGAGATAGGTGCTAGGGGCTGCACCAGGTTGCACCTAGCTGGTAGTGAGGGATACTGTGTATGTAGTAAGTGGCCAACAGGCAAGTAAAGCCATGTATCTTGCTGCTTCTCCTCTTTGCGGCAATGGCAATGCCTATGGTGCCACGTGGCTTCTGGACAGCATTCTCACCGCTAGCTAAAATAGCTCAGTTGGGAGAGCGTTAGACAAAAGATCTAAAGGTCCCTGATTCGATCCTGGGTTTCGCCAGCGTTACTGAGGGTTTATAACATTCTCACTTCTGCTAGTTGTGCTCGCCATTGAACGGTTTTGCCATTGTCCAATGCGTTCCTTGCTAATTGGAGTCTATGATCATGTGGTTACTTAGTCACAGCAGGAGTCGTGTCTTGTTACTCTATTATTTATGCGGCACCTGAAACACACCTTCAAAGCTCCACTCTTCTCAATTAAACTTTGTGCACCAATCCATGTTACCAGCCAGAGGCCAATGTAAAGCAGGCCGAAATAACTCAGTTGGGAGAGCGTTAGACTGAAGATCTAAAAGGTCCCTGATTCAATCCTGGTTTTCGGCAGCTGTAGGAGTGCATTTTGACATACCGCTTTGTGGTATCAACAGCCCCAATCCATAAAAATTAATTTCCATCTAAACCTTCCATAGGCAGACCAAGGTTTAGAGAGTTGATTAGGTTCTCGGGCACAATACAAATTCAGTTGTGCAACATCCTGCATATTTTGCTTTTCACAGCCAACATGCATGGCCATGCCAAAAATCCATTCTTCTCAATAGGACACATTTACACCAACACATAGCTTTGAGGGAAAAGCCCAGCATGCTTCATTTTGGCAGTGCTGACCTGCATTTTGCCAATCCAATCAACTAGAAGGGACTGCTTCAAAGACATCATGCTACCTATCTGAAAGGCACACTCACTCAAAGCACCTTAACAAGTGCGTTCTGGTGTGAACAAGACCTAGCTGGTTCCTGAGAGACAGTAAAAGTCATGACAACGCCAAAACCAGTCTGTGACAACTTCATGAAAGCAAGTAGAACCTTTTTGAACCATGGGAGGATTCAAAGCAGAATCATTCTTTTTTTCATGTATATGTATTAAATAAAAAAATCAAGAGGCAATCAGAAGAAGTGCCTTCATGGACTGAAATACCTTCCTTGACAGAGGGCACAATTGTATAGCTGAAGATCCCCGGCTTTCCCAGGCTGCTTCTTCTTCCATGCAGACAAAATGAGAAGCATGACCATTCTTTCCTAGAAAAGACAATACCACTTATTCAATCAGTTCCAAAAGGAGTCACACCTGCTGCAGGGACCCAAACAACCTTCCACACACATTCTCTCCTATCTGTCAGCAGTTGACTACAGAAATTTTACACTACTTCTTTGCCACCATCACTTTGAGCACATTTCAATCTTTTCTATGGGTGATGATGAGGTCGTAGAGGTTAACTGTGGGTCTTTGTTGCTTCTCCCGATCGGCGAAAAGCCTGCACCAGCGAGTCGCAAAAGGGGTTAGCTGGGAGAGCATTCCATTTAAGGTTTTTTGTTTTTATCCTGGGTTTCCACAGCTGTTGCAGGTCTTTTGGAGTTTCCACTTCTCCTTGAACAGACTAGCTTTTACTGCTTATGCGTTTTTGCAAGTATCAGAGTGTTTGCTCAATCACAGCAGTAGTGGAGCCATGCATCTTGCTGCTCGTCCTCTTTGCGGCAATGGTGCCACGTGGCTTCTGGACCCCGTTCTCTCCGCTAGCCGAAATACCTCAGTTGGGAGAGCATTAGACTGAAGATCTAAAAGGTCCCTGGCTCGATCCCAGGTTTCGGCAGCAATGATGAGGGTTTATAAAATTCTGATTTATGGTGGTTGGCTCATCATTGAGTGCGAGTCCAAACGGGGAACATTTCCAGAAGCAAAGTCCACATTTGGATCGGGACAAGGGGTCCCAGAGTGTGGGGAATCCAGGAAGGCCTAGGAAGATACATTGCTTAGTGCACAAGAAGGATGGTGAGGGACATTTGAAGGAGGTGCCAGACACAAGCGGTTAGCCTGTAAGCAAAAAGTGTCCGTGTCTTCAGTACCCAAGTGCAAGGTATGCAAAAACTAACCATGGACCCATCTGAATGAACAAATAAACCCAACTTGTTGAAGTGGGGGCACACCTTCATGCAGAAAGCTTTTCAGCTAGTCTCTACCCTAGGCTCTGAAGGTCTAAAAGTACCTACTACCAAAGTGGAAGGAGATGAAGGGTCGGATTCCCCCCAACCTCTCCACACACCTCCTGCATTGAAGCAGGAACACACTTTGGCCACCTGTGGAATTATTAATAGTGGTGACAAGAGCAGGTTTGAGGTGACAACATCCTTTGAAAGCTAATAGTCACATACTCCTGGATACAGCATTAGTGTTCCATCCATGCAGAGTGCTCTACTCTATTTCTGACTTATGGTTTACTTCTATTGTAAGACTCAGTCTACAATTCTGACACAGGAACCCATTTACTGTGTAATTATGAAAAACCAGGAAGTATATGAGACAACAGGCATTCACCCCAAACCAAGGGACTGAGAGTAGAATTAGCCTTTCAACTAAATTGAAATCACAGCCTTTAGGGCAGGTTCACACCATTTTCTGGACCAGGTCTGGAACGCAGTGCATTGCTCTTTGATCATTATTTTGCAGCGTTCTGGAGGTTTTTATAGCTTAAAATGGTCTTGCAGGTGTGTTCCAGTGTGTTTGTATGTGTTTTTGATGCGTTTCTATGCGTTCCAGTGCATTCCACACCAGACAAAATAAGACATGCAGTATTTTTCTTGTCTGGTCTGGAATGGACTGCACTGGTGTGAACAGAGGGCAGAAACAGCATGGGGATACATTAGGATGCATTTTGCATCCGGAAACAATCTGGTCTGGTGATGATCCGGACATGGTGTGAATGGGCCCTGAATAATAAATTTATATAAAAATCAATATACATTCCTATCAGGTTAATACAAAATGTTGCATATGAATATTTGTATTCTTATTCCCAGCCAGCAGATTGAGCTCTAAACATGTTTTCACCTTAATCAGTCTGTCCTCATCTGCTGTTGCTTACAGAGCTCAATCGATCAAGCTGGAATTTGAACATACCATTAAATGGAGTAAAAAAAAACCTTTGGTGGTAGATTGAGAGAGGGAGGGGGAGAGAGGGAGGAAGGGGAGGGGGAGAGAGGGGAGGAAGGGGAGAAAAAGGAGGGAGGGGAGAAAAAGGAGGGAGGGGAGAAAAAGGAGGGAGGGGAGAAAAAGGAGGGAGGGGAGAAAAAGGAGGGAGGGGAGAGAAGGAGATAGATAATTTTTTTATACAACCAATCGATTAGTTGAAAAAATAATCGGGTAATGAATCGATTATGAAAGTAATAGTTAGCTGCAGCCCTAAAGGTCTGTGATTTCTGTGTCATGGACATACTCTGTATTACATTTTTATTGATAGAATTAGGATTTCATATATGGTAAAAAAAAAAAAGTTAATAAAACAAAGTATCAGTTTGAATAGTGTTTACTCCAGGAATAACTATTATAGTTTCCCTTTAATCAGCATTATTTAGTAACAAATAAGGGTGGAGATGTGTTTTTTCTTCTTCAGTATTTTGTCTCTGAAGTGGACACATACAAATATACAAACATAGATACATGGAGCTACAGACATTAATTACAAACCAAGGACAGCGAGCAGTAGAACAAAGAACAAGTCAAAGAAGAGAAATAAATCTCTAGCTAGTCAGACTTTTATAAAAGTGAAGACTCTGACAATTCACATGGCTCTGATGTGGTTTGAAAAGCCACACGCTTTGCTCTGCAGTGCTATGGCTGTATTAGGTTTATTTCGAGGAGAGTTCATCGTCCATGGTCAATGCACCCATGTGCCTGTTCGTGAGGAAGTCAAACAACGGAATGTTGCAAATAGCCTGATGGATATCTGCGACGGTAATTTCTCTCGGAGCTCTACGCAAAAAAGAAATGTAACATAACTTAATATTTCCTGGGATAAAATGCATTCGAAACAAGACAAACCTGATAAATGAATATATATTATTTGATAATACTATGATAATGGAAGTCAAAAACTGTGCAGAGAATGTAACCAAGTTGTGGTGGGTGAATCCACTGAAGTGCTATGGCTTTGCAGGCTGAAAGCAAATGAGATAACACATAGGGACTGGAAGGAGTGGGGTCTAGGATTTCCCCTGCCTGACAGATTCTTTATATTAGATCAGTTGGTTGTAAAAGCCCCATGGCAATCTAAGTCACTGTTCACACCTGGGCGTTTTGACGCTCAAAGCGAAGTGCGGAAAAACTCTCAGCACAAGAAATCCTATTCATTTCTAGGGCCCCTGTTCACACCTGAGAGTTTTTTTTGCAAGCTGTAAAACACTGAACGCTGAAAAATGTACATGAGCTTCTTTCAAGCAGATTACAGCATGTTTGGCCGCATAGACTTCAATGGAAGCGCATGAAAACAATACGAGCGGTTTGCACATGTCTCAGTGCGTTTTGTGCGCACGTTTGCTCATTCACATCAATGCATTTCAATCTGCTCAATAAAACGTGTTTTGTATATGCCCGTCTAACATGCGTACAAATGTGCAAAGCGCAAGGGAAAGACTTGTGTAAATATGCGTGGAAACACTGACGCATAGGTGTGAATGGACACTAACGTGTGTTGTAGATGTAGGCATGGAGGAGGTCTTCAGTTTCTAAGTGCCCCAACTTCAAGGGGTTTGACTATACCATGGTGACTGTGTATGTCCTCCATGTGCTCTATGAACGGAATTTAGGAATTATGATAGCCATAGCTATGTACGGCCACATAACCCAATATACTGAGATTGTAGACTAGGGGAAGTCCATAAAGCATCAATAAAGACTCAATGCCATCTCCAGAAATGTAGATCAGGGAGCCATAACCATGTCAAATAATTGTTAAAGTGTGTTTAAATATTGCAAGAAACAGAACTACATACCGTTTCCTAGAAGTCATCTGATATGCCACAGCTAAAGAATCTCGCAGAATATCGCTGACAAACTGCTCAGTGAGAGAGAGAGAGAGAGAGAAAAAAAGAAAGAAGGAAGGAAAGAAGGTGTGTGAGATAATGTCATTTTGTTCCAAAGCCATACCTTTAGGACCATTTCCTCCACTGGTGATGCATACACATTTTTCTTAATCTCAGTTGGTTGTAAGGAGATTCCAATCTTTTGAAAAACAAAGATTGTTACATGTGATGTTACATATACAAAAAAAGAAAAAACTTTCACAATTCTCTGATGCATTAAATAAAAAGTAATGACAACAGCATACATAATTGTCTTTATAAAATAGTGTATGGCCTAATCCAGGGGTAGGCATCCTTGGCACTCCAGCTGTGCTGAAACTACAAATCCCAAGTCATGTCTGCAGATGTCAGAGTATTGCAATGCATCATGGGACTTGAAGTTCCACAGCAGCTGCAGTGCCAAGGTGGTCTAACCCTGACCTAATCTGTCCCAAAATGCACGGAGGAAACCTGACTGGTTGCTACGCCTAAAAAAAAAAAAACCTTCCTTCATACACTAAGAAAAGAAAACCCTCACCGATGAAAGCAATCATGTGCAGATACTCGCAGCAATTGATTTCAGCTTCAACAGAACAAAGTAGTCGCTTAGGAGTAACAGTCATGGGTTATGGCAGTGGGAATGCGTTAGAACATAAGTCAGGTTTTAACCCTTTCACTGCCACTGACCTATCACATTGGTGACCGTGTAAGCATGTACATAAAATCCCAGCCACTAGTAGTAATCTGGGTGTCTTTAAAGCCACCTTTATATGTAGGAGATGGTGCTAATGTCTCCTCAAAGAGCCTTTTAACCTCTTGCCGTCCACCCGTTAAGAAAAAACGGACGGACGGCAGACTCGCATCAGCGGGTTGCAGTCTCCAGATGGCATTTTTTTCCTGCTCGCGCGCGCGGGGATGGTATCCCCCTATGTAATAGCAATAACAATAAGTGTAAAAAAAAAATCTATATAAATAAAAAAAGTTACAAAAATAAAAGTTACAAATAAAAAAAGTAAACCCCCCAATGTTTAAGTCCCCCCCCTTCGTTTACACACATATAAACGTATATATGCGTCGCATGCGCCAGCGCGCGAAAATGACAAATGCGCTACACGTTACATATTGAAGCGACCGTCGCAGTGAGAGCAATCATTTTAGGGCCATCAATCACTGATAACACTAAACTGATGAGCGGTAAAAACTTTTAATGCGTCGCCTATGGCCAATTTTGGGTAATGTAGTTTTTTTGAGGTTTCGCACGCATGCGCAATTTGAAAGGCTTGACATGTTTGGTGTCTCTTTACCCGACTTGACCCCGTCTTTTATATTTTACCAAAAAATTTGGTAATAATAAATGCTTTAGAATTTAATATAGGGGGGAACTGTTTTAAAAAAAAAAAA